GAACAACAACAGAGCCACGCTCTGACCAGCGAAGAACAACAACAGAGCCACGCTCTGACCAGCGAAGAACAACAACAGAGCCACGCTCTGACCAGCGAAGACCAACAACAGAGCCACGTTTTGACCAGCGGAGACCAACGACAGAGCCACGCTCTGACCAGCGAAGGGAGCCACGCTCCAACCCACGGGACCAGCCCGCAGAGCCACACTCTGACCAACAAAGAACGACGAGGGAGTCACACTCCAACCACGAAGAGCCACCAACGGCACATCACTCAGAGCCACGCTCTGATCAGCGAAGTACATCGACGGAGTCACACTCCAACCACGAAGAGCCACCAACGGCACATCACTCTGAGCCACGCTCTGATCAGCGAAGCACATCGACGGAGTCACACTCCCACCACGAAGAGCCATCCCCGGCACATCACTCAGAGCCACGCTCTGATCAGCGAAGCACACCGACGGAGTCACACTCCCACCACGAAGAGCCATCCCCGGCACATCACTCAGAGCCACGCTCTTCCCAGCAAAGCACATCGACGGAGTCACACTCCAACCTCGACGAAGAGCCACCAATGGCCCACCATGCAAAACCACGCTTTGATCAGCGAAGGACGACAACGGAGTCACACTCCACCCACGCCGAGAAGCCACAGACGACAGCCCCAGGAGAGCCACGCTCTACCCATCGAGGGCAGCCAAGGGAGCCATGCTCCGAACTCGAAGACCAGCCAAGCACCTCACCTCGAGCACAATTTCGAGACACAGCATCACCAGCGACGGAGAACCAGCCGCCCTGTTGGAGACAGGCTTTGCCCGTGGCAGATGCCACAGCCGCGCAACGGAATCCCTTCCGTACCTCCACAAAACGTGTCCGCTTCCCAGATCACGTCGAGGAAACGCCGGAGCCGAGCCCGCCCCTATGCGGAACCGTCAATTCGGTGAGTCATCCCACAGAGGATCAGGTCTCTTTCCAGACAGAGGAACCCGAGACGCAGGACTTCCCCGAGCCTTGGGTGAAGGAGTTCCTGGACCAGGAACTGGCCAAATTTGATACTCTCTCAGGGGTCACACATCGCAGAGCATCGCATCTTCATGCGCACCGATCGACCCCTTAAACAGCGGTACTTTCCAAGGAATCCAGCCATGAGGGCCGTCATTGACAAGCAGATCAATGAACTCCTGCGAGACGGACGCATTGAACCTTGCAAAAGCCCGCACAGCGCGCCCATCGTAATCGCGGCCAAGAAGAATGGCGAAGTCCGCATGTGCGTGGACTACCGCCAGCTCAATGAGAACTCCGTGCCGGACGAGTATCCGCTTCCGAGGATCCATCAGATCTTGGAGCGACTCCGGAACGCGAAATTCATCTCGACGTTGGACCTCTTTCGATGCCAATGTTATTGTCTTTACAGAAACATGGCTCAACTCCTCTGTGTCTGACTCTGAGATTTTTTCAGGGAACTATACCATCTTTAGACGTGATCGTCCTATACGGACAGGCGGTGGTGTTCTCATTGCGGTTAAATCCGATCTGGTTTCCAATATCATTTCTAAAACTGACACTGAGTTTGTGGCGGTTCGCATCCAAATTTATGATTATTCTATCTACGTTTCATGCTCGTATATTCCACCTAGGTCTGATACCGATATTTATATGCAGCATTTATCCTTAATTCAAGAAATTCATTCTTCCCTTGGTATTAATGACCACCTTATCGTCACGGGTGATTTTAATCTGCCCTCCATTTCCTGGATGCCCTTACTTGATTCAAATGTTCTTGTCCCCACCTCACCCCACGATTTAATTCATGGTCTCATTGACCATTCATTTGGACAAGTAAATTTTGTAAGGAACTGCAGTAATAACGTCTTAGACCTCATCTTTGTCTCTGAGTTTGCCAATGCCTACGTCACTAGAATTGACCGTCTTTCTAGTCCTGAGGACGCTTATCATCCCACTTTGCAGCTAACCCTCGAAGCCTCCACTCCATTATTATTGTGTCCGGAAGCTGAGCCTGCAACGTTTCGTTGCTTTCGAAAAGCTAAGTTTACAGAAATGAACCACCACTTATCCTTAACGGATTGGACTTTCTTGAACTCCACAGAGGATCCCTCAGACATTGTAAGGCGTTTCTATGAAATAATGTACTCAGTTTTTGACATGTATGTCCCTTCATTTCCCTCACCAGTAGTTTCTCATAAGCCCCCCTTGGTTTTCTCGTCGGCTTTCTTATCTAAAAAATCTGAAATCCAGACTGTTTAAAAAGTACAGCAAATCTGGTCTTCAAGTCGACCATTCGAGATATTTAACTTGTAAGGATATGTCTAGGGCCGGGGTAAACCTCAGCGGCCCAGGATTCCTCTCCAGAAATATTTATATTTTAGAGACGGCCAGGACATGGACGCCGAATTTTTTAATGAACCTTCTAGGGGAAAAATGGCAGCGAAAAGGGGCTCGTTTTCAAAAGGGGGACTCTGGCTTCGGGAAAATGGGAATCTTGGGCGGTCACCCTGGCGATGGCCAGGTGCTCCTCCGTTTTCCTGCGCCCGCTCGGTTGCCCAGCAGCGGCGACTCTTTCGATCGGCAAAATCTCCGCCGCCCGGGATGACCCACCGGCGATGGCGGGCAAAATGCAGATCGAAAGGGAAAGGGGAGAGGGGAAGGGAAAACCTAAAACGCGCGGTCACCCTGGCGGTGGCCGGGTACTCCTCCGTTTTCGGCGCCTGCCCGGTTGCCCAGCAGCGGCGACTCTTCCGATCGGCAAATCTCCGCCGCCCGGGATGACCCAGCGGCGATGGCGGGCAAAATGCAGATCGAAAGGGAACGGAGAGGGTAGAGGGAAAATCGTTGAGCACGTGCCGGCGGCGAGGAGCTCGTAGCTCGGGAAAAACCCAGCAGCCCCGATGCCCTACGCCAGATCTGTGCCCGGGAGAACCCAGCGGCGACAAATCCCGCTCCCGTCCCGCCTGCTCTGGCCCGGAGCTTGCCCAGCGGCCACGCGGAGTTGGTGCGGGAGAACCCAGCCACCAGCTCGGCGAGTGAGTGAGCGGGAGGCTTTGGCACGCGTCAGAATAAGGGTTGACTGTTACTACGCGGAGTTCGGTGGGAGAGAGAGAGAGAAAGAGATACGGCTTTGCTCTTCATTCTTTATTGCTTAACTATTTTGTACAATTATTTCAAACTTTGGCTACGGCTACAATGCCCTGCCTGGCCCTACGCCACACTCCAAGGATCTGCCCTCACATGGCACTCGGCCGGCTCACCTGATGTTATCAGTCGACTGGGACACGTGCCCGGCAGCCAGGATGTAAGTTAACACACGCGGGTCCTTTTTGGACTTAGCCGTCGCACAGTAGCGCCTTTTCTCATTTAGCGTTGCAAAAATCATATCTTTTGAACCAAATAAGGTAATCGAATAATTTAAACGGCATTGGACAAGTAATTGTTGTAAAATATATATATGTACTGCATAAAGTACCACGCCCACAAATACGCCTTTTTAAAGGGTATCAAAGTGAAAAAATAATTTTTTTTCAATGAAAACAATTTTTAAACAAAAATTTTTATTTAATTTTTTATGTTTATTTTTATGTATTTGCTCAAATAAAAATAATTTGAAAACTGAAAAAAAATTTTTTTTTTCATTTGAAGTGTAACCGCCACGCGCTACAGTTAGTATATTTCTTGAAATGTATGAAATTGTGTCGGTATTTTGGTATATTTTACCCTGAGTTGTTTTGGTTTTTTGCGTTGCATTTCCGCAGACGCAGCTCGACGCAGCCGATGAAAGTTAATTCTGATCCAGGAAAGATTCACGGAACTTGTAGTTATAGTGTAGTCAGTGGCCGGCATTGGCGTCAAAAGATATAGACTACTTTAGGCAGAAAAAGGTGAAAAAAATGGACACCTGGCAGGTAGCGATTTACCTGTAGAAGCCCAAACCAAAGTGTCGTTTTTTTTAGGTTCTTTAATAGTTTATGAATGTATCTATCATTTAAAGTTAAAACCATGACCATTGGTTTTATGGTTTTTTTGTAATATTACCTGAAAGTCGACCAATTTACACATTTTTTTTGTATGATGCAAAAAACGAAACAAAGTTCAACTTTAAATGCTCATAACTTCTACAAAAAAAATCTTAAAATTGATTTTATTGCAGATTCTGAATCCTTGTTAAATTTCCTGTCGAATAAGTATGGTTAAAATCGTTTTTGCGAACATGACTTTTTCGATTTTTGCAACGCTAATTGTTCGAGAGGCGCTACTGTGCGTCGGTTTGGATAATTTCGAGTCGCGGGGACTAAGTTCAATCGTTCACGTTCGCAGTTGTCGGAGAAGCGATCGCGGTCGCAGCTTGCAAAGCCCTTGTCGCCTCGTCTCTGCCAAAAATGTCCGGGCAGCGCAGCTTTCGGCCGTCGGCTTTGTTATTGTTATTGTTTATGTTTTGATCGGCATGTAAATAAGCACGACCAAAACGTAAACACGCACGATCGTCGGAGGGAAATGTCGCTGCCTCTGCCGCTGTTCGCGTCGGCAGCGGAGAGAGGGGAAACGTCTTTAGCGCGGTCGCTACAGTCCGTGTTGAAAAAATGTATACGCCTGTGCGTTGCGGCCTTACTCTAAATCTAATTTAGCCCTCCTTGGGCAAATTAACTTTGGGCTTCATGCCCGCTTAAATGTGCAGTTGTGTGTGTGGGTGTGTGGTATGGCTAATCCTAACTTATTTCCCTATACTAATTACTAACTTAACTATAAACTTAACTAATATGTACATAATTTACATGATAGGGTGTTGTGACATCGTCACACTCCACCCTATCTTCGGGAGGGTGGAGAGTGATGATCACCTTCCCGCTGCGGTTGATCTGGACGCGGAAGCGTTGATTCGCCACCTCCTCCAGAATCCGGATGGTCCGTCGTCGTGGCGTCGCCAACCGCCCGTGAATCCGGCGTAGCAAGGCGGCCGGCAATGTGCCGTTGGGTGTGGTCCATTCTACTGGAGCCGGTACCCAGCGGGGGGAGGGTTGAGGGCTCCCTCGTCGGCGTCCAATGATGACTCGTCGGACGAGCTGGGTGGGCTGTCTGCCCATGGTGCGCTCCTGCGCCGTGCTCGGCGGCGTGGGGTCGGTGATGGTGGTGGGCCATTCGTCGGCGGTTGGGCAACCGGTGGGTTGCCGAGCTCCTCGCTGAGGTCCTCCGCTCTTCGACGCGCCTCTTCTGCGGCCAGCTCCGCAATGGTGGGCAGGCGGGGTCGAGGATCGCGACTGGCGGTCACCGCGGCGCATCGGGCGGTAGCGTGAGGACCGGAGTATGGTCCCAGGCCAAATATCTCCTCGTAGGAGGGCGGAGGGGGTCGGCTGCGACTGGTAGCGGCTGGGGCCCAGCTTTGTAGCGGCGTGGTGCTGGGTGGAGTCCAGCGTGGGGGCGGCGATCGCGGGGCGTAGGACCAGCCACTGTCCTGGCTAGTCTCGTCCTCGTCGGCCGAGATTGTCGATGCCGATGCGTCATCAGCGGGTCCGGTGGAAGGAGGTCGCGAGGCGTCTGACTGGCGGCCCTCCCGGCTGGCCTCGTCCTCGTCGGCCGAGATGGTTGACGCTGTGTTGGTGCCGCTTCCCCAGTCGAGCACGTCCACTGGTATCTCCCCGAAGCATTCTATCAGGGCGGCTTCTACCTCGCCCATGTACGGCGGGGCCCGGTTGTCGCTCGGGGCCGGCCGTGGGCGGCGTCTCCTGCGGATATCACGGCTGTCCTCCGCGGTGGGGTCGTAGATCACCGTCGCATCGCTGTCGTCGCCGTCATCGCCGGTTGGGTTATAGTGACGAGGTGTTTGGTTGTCACGGCCCTCGTCGTCGGAGACCAGGTCGTACGCCGCGCCCAGAGGTCCGAGAGCAGCGACCGCCTGCGGCTCTTCTCTGGGGGCTTCCCCGTGGGATGGGCCACCTTGGTTGAGGACCAGAATCGCCTCGTCCAGGGTGTCGAAGGCGTCAACCAGTTCTCCCAGGGTATCCTCCACCAGGTGGTCGAAATTGAACCAGTCGTCTGGCGGGGAGACGGCTGGGTTCTGGGCGTCCTCGGCGTCGGCGGAGGGTGCCCGATCTCCGGGTGGAGCATCGCGTGGTCGGGGCGGAGTCAGATCGACCCGAAGGGGTCCGAAACGATCGTCACGTGGCACCTCCTCCTCGTCATTGCCGTTGTGAGGGGCAACTTCCGGAGGAGGCGCCTGCGGCCCTAGGTGGCCGGTGCGCAGGGGTGCCTGGAGCGGCATGCCCCTTAAGGGTGCTGGGTGGGGTCCAGCGCCGTCGTGCTGGTGGGCCTCCTCCTCGTCATCGTCGCGAAGAACGACTTCCGGAGGGGTCCGTTGAGGCCCAATGAGGCCGGCGAGCAGGGGCACCAGGGGTGGCATCCCCTGTGTAGAGGGCCGACGGGGCCCGGCGTGGTTGACGGAGTTCGCCTCTATGGTGACGTCGGCGGGTAGAGCCCGTGGTCGGAAGAGGACGGCGCTATGGGCGAAGAGGCTGTCGCTGGGACGCGGCGGGCTTGGCCCGGCGCCTTGGAGTGCTTGACGGAGCTCGTCAACCGCACAGTACATCCATGCGGTGTCGGACGTCGGGGCGGGAGTCGGCGGATGGCCTTGTCCGTCCATACTGTTGGCTGGCGTCGGTGTTGGCGGAACTTTGTGGCAGTGGTTCAGGCGTGCTTTGCCTGCGGGGAGCGTGGCTCGTTATGCCTCTTGGTAGGCGGGCTGAAGGCTGCTGCTGTAAGGACAGAGGAGATGTGTATTAGTGTGTTTCCCTGGGCCCTACCTAATGGAGTGGGCTAGGGTTGGCTACGACTATGGCTTTTGGAAAGAGACGCGTGTTCAGCCCACTAGGGGGTTCGGGACGTTGGGCAGGCGCGCCTGCCAACAAGTGGCCCCTGTGAAACATGGTCGCCTTCCCTACATGGGTGCTCGTCGCTAGTGTTGGCGGCGCGGGATGGGTCCCCTGCGCCGTGCGGTCTTGACTGCTGGCTGTGCGTCCAGAGTGGTGTCATCGGCTTCCTCGATTGTGGTATCTCCGGCGTCGGTGTCTTCCCGGTGGGTTCCGGCTTCGGTTTCTACCTCATCCTCATGGTGGTACGGCTTCAGCTGGTTCAGGCTGGCGGTCCGCCGGCGTCGGCTTCCTGGCATGTGCAGTTGCACGATGTTCGGCGATGGGAACTTCGCTACCCTGAAGGGTCCTTCGTACTTCGCTGCTAACTTCGCGGCAAAGCCCTCGGCGGCGTTGGATAAGGCGTGTCGGCGTACCAGTACCATGGATCCAACTGGTGGTCTCCACGTCCTCCGGCGTAGGTTGTAGTGACGGCTCTGCTCGGCGGCGGCGCGATCAGCGTTGTTTCGGACGACGTCGAAGATGTTCCGGAGTTGCTCGCTTCGCTCGGTCGGGGTAATCTCAGGGGTGCCTCGTCCGGGGGGTAATTTCGTCGTACAGTGTCTTCGGGAGTCGCGGTTCTCGGCCTTGTACCAAGAATGCGGGGCTGAATCCGGTAGTGTCCGAGACACTACTATTGATGGCTAAAGATATCTCCGGTAGGAGCTGATCCCACTCGTTTTGTTGGCCTCCATCTAAGTATTGGGCGATCATCGTCTTGATCGTTCGATTTGCCCTTTCCGTAGGATTCTGTCTCGGAGTGTAGGGCGCCGTGTGCTGCAGCTCCATCCCTAGCGACTGGCAGAACTTCTGGAATGAGCGGCCGGTGAACTGCGTACCGTTGTCGCAGACAAATGTTCGGGGAACACCGAATCGGCTCAATATCCGCTCTCTGAAGGCTCGTTCCAGATGTGTGGCGGTAGCTTTGCGAAGTGGCACTAGCTCCACCCACTTGCTGAAGGCGTCCAGGAATACTAGCAGCATCGTGTTGCCCTGTTTCGACCGCGGCAGTGGGCCGACGAAATCTGCGCATAGGATGTGGAACGGCTCCTCGACCTGTCGAGTAAACATTTGACCTGCGGCCTTTTCTTGGCTCACCTTATATCGCTGACAAGTGGGGCAACGGCGAACGTACCGAGCCACCTCGCGGAACAATCCAGGCCAGTAATAGCGCTGGGCCACGCGAGTGCTGGTTTTCCGGACTCCTAGATGACCGGCAGTGGGGTGATCGTGGCACTCTTCGAGTACTCGCTGGCGATAGTCTGACCCTACGCACAGCTTCCAGGGCGTATACTCCTCCTCCTCAGGACGGAGTCCAAGGCGACGATATAGCTGGCCATTCTCTTCTCGATAATCTGGAAACTTTGCTGGTTCGGCTCGAATCCTCTGGAGCATCCTCGTGATCCACTTACAGTTGATTCCTTGTACCTCCGCTTGCTGCACTATGGGCAGCGGTTGGCGAGAAAGGGCATCGGCCACCAAGTTCTGGGCCCCCTTCCGGTAATGGACATCATACTGATATTGTTGCAACTCCAACGCCCAACGGGCAATCCTGCCTGTTGGATTGTCGATGGAGTTCAACCACTTCAAGGAGTGGTGGTCTGTGAGGACTTCGAAGCGGTATCCCTCGATGTAACACCGCATCTTCCGAATCGCCCAGACGATGGCGAGACACTCCTTCTCAGTCACTGAGTAGTTCCTCTCAGCAGTGTTGAGCCGGCGGCTGGCGTACGCTATCACCCTCTCGTTTCCATCGATGGTCTGCGTGAGTACGGCTCCGATTCCGTAGTCACTGGCGTCAGTTTGTAGCACAAACTTCTTGCAAAATCTGGGCAAGCTAGAATAGGGGCTTCGGTCAGCAGCGTCTTCAGCTCCTGGAAGGCCTGGTCTTGTCTTTGGGTCCATTCCCACTTGTGGCCCTTCTTCAGCAGCGATGTCATGGGTGCCACAACATCGGCGAAGTTCGGCACGAAGCGGCGATACCAGGAAGCGATTCCCAGGCACCTGCGTAGCTCCTTCCAGGTTTGTCGGCGGTGCGAGTCCTCGGATCGCAGCGACCTTGTCCGGATCCGTGTGAATTCCGGCTTCGCTGATCACGTGACCCAAGTACACGATGCGGCGCTGGAAGAAATGACACTTCCCTCTGTTGAGGCGCAGGTTTGCGCAGCGGAGGCGTCTGAAGACTTCTCCAAGATTGGCGACATGCTCCTCCAGTGTGGAACCGATGACAATGATGTCATCCAGATATGCAAACGCATGGGGTTCCATATCCGGACCGATGACCGTGTCTAAGGCGCGTTGAAACGTGGCGGGAGCGGAGTGAAGTCCGAAAGGCATGACTCTCCAATGAAACAACCCTCTTCCGGGAACGGTAAACGCCGTGCACTCCCGGCTGTCCGGGGCCACTGGGATTTGCCAATACCCATTTTTGAGGTCCAACGTCGAGATGAATTTCGCGTTCCGGAGTCGCTCCAAGATCTGATGGATCCTCGGAAGCGGATACGCGTCTGGCACGGAGTTCTCATTGAGCTGGCGGTAGTCCACGCACATGCGGACTTCGCCATTCTTCTTAGCCGCGATTACGATGGGCGCACTATGCGGGCTTTTGGAAGGTTCAATGCGTCCGTCTCGGAGGAGTTCATTGATCTGCTTATCAATGACGGCCCTCATGGCTGGATTCCTTGGAAAGTACCGCTGTTTAAGGGGTCGATCGGTGCGCATGAAGATGCGATGCTCTGCGATGTGCGATACCCCTGAAAGAGTATCAAATTTGGCCAGTTCCTGGTCCAGGAACTCCTTCACCCAAGGCTCGGGGTAATCCTGCGTCTCGGGTTCCTCTGTCTGGAAAGAGACCTGATCCTCTGTGGGATGACTCACCGAATTGACGGTTCCGCATAGGGGCGGGCTTGGCTCCGGCGTTTCCTCGACGTGATCCTGGAAGCGGACACGTTTTGTGGAGGTACGGAAGGGATTCCGTTGCGCGGCTGTGGCATCTGCCACGGGCAAAGCCTGTCTCCAACAGGGCGGCTGGTTCTCCGTCGCTGGTGATGTTGTGCCTCGAAACTGTGCTCGAGGCGAGGTACTTGGCTGGTCTTCGGGATCGGAGCATGGCTCCCTTGGCTGCCTTCGATGGGTAGAGCGTGGCTCTCCTTGGGCTGTCGTCTGTGGCTTCTCGGCGTGAGTGGAGTGTGACTCCGTTGTCGTCCTTCGCTGATCAGAGTGTGGCTCTGAGTGGTGTGCCATTGGTGGCTCTTCGTATGGTTGGAGTGTGACTCCGTCGTTGTTCTTCGTTGGTCAGAGCGTGGCTCTGAGTGGTGTGCCTGGTGCTCTCGTGGGTTGGAGCGTGGCTCCCTTCGCTGGTCAGAGCGTGGCTCTGTTAGTGGTCTCCGCTGGTCAGAGCGTGGCTCTGTTAGTGGTCTCCGCTGGTCAGAGCGTGGCTCTGTTGTTGATCTTCGCTGGTCAGAGCGTGGCTCTGTCGTTGTTCTTCGCTGGTCGTTCGGTCGCAGTCGGAGGGTCTGCCCGCCGCAGAGCAGGGTTGCTCCGATTCCACAGAGGAAGTCCATTCCTAGGAGTATGTCGTCCAGTGCGTCCGACATCACGAGGAGAATGGTGGGCGTCCGTTCGCTTCCGAGGTAGATGTTTGCCGCCAGAGCTCTGGTCAGCTCGCGGCATGTTCCGTCGGCGAGTTTTACCTGGGTACGGATGTTCCGTGTGTTCCTTCCGTTGTCCAGCATTTGAGCCAGCCTTTCGCTAATGAAGCTGTGGGTGGCTCCGGTGTCCAGGGTAGCTGTGAACCGCTGCCCCTCCATGTGGATGGTAGCGCGGATGCGTCCCTGGTACTGATGGAGAGTGTCTCCTATTGGCTTCGGGGATACGGAGGGTTCCTCGGGTGATTCCCGGTCACACGAGGCCCTTGCCCGTTTCCCGACGGTGGCTGTCGGCAACAGTCAACCGTCCTGCGTCCTCGTTGGCCGCAATCCCAACAGAATAGGATCCGTGGGTTCCTGCATTCGGCTTCGAAGTGCCCGGATTGGCCACAGTTCCGGCAAGCGTTGCGAACGTTGACGGCTTCTGGTCGTGGTGCCACTGCGCTCTGGCTGGTGCAAGCGTTCCGGCTAAGGGAACCGTTGAGGGCGTTGCCTGAAGGAGGCGCCTGTTGAGGTCGTCGAGTGGGCATCCTGTCTCCGTCGGCTGCGTAGCTGGCTCCTGTGGCCTGGCGTTGAGTCGGGATCCGGTTCTCCAGCGCTCTTCCGCCTCGGCTGCGTGTCTCCTCGTAGTTGGTCACGAGATGCGTTAGCTCGGTCAGCGTACGGAAATCCTGCCTCCGGGTGTAGAGTTGATACTCCGGCAGCATATTTTCGTAAATCCTCTCCAGCTCCTTGTCTGATGAGAATCCGGCCCGGCGCATCTGCAAACGGATGTCGATAAGGTATTCCTTAAATGGCTCGTTGGGCTTCTGGAAGTGCATCCTTATCTCATCCTCCAGCCGCTGATAGTATCGCGGTGGCAAGAAGAAGTCAAGGAACTCTCGGCGGACCTCGGTCCAGCTGGCGTGTTGGAGTCCGCTCGTGCGGAACCAACTTTCGGCTCGGCCGGCCAGCAGCACCACCAGGGCTTGGGCCAGATATCTCCGGTCGATCCGGCAGGTATCGGCACGCTCCTCGATGTGCTCTATGAATCCAAGAGGATCCGTCGTTCCATCGAACGAAAGGCCCCACTTGGTCATCCGATCGAT